AACATTTTAATTCACCGAATGCTTAACTCTAATCAGGATGAATCACAATTGAATCATCTGAGCAAATAAACTTTATTCTAGGAAATGGAAGGCACAAGGGGACTTCGGCAATCTCTGGAAAGTGGAATTCAGGGTGAGCTTATGCTGGTGCAAAACTTTTGAACTCCATGAACTTTTAATAATATGCATTTTCATAAACTTTTTGAAGATCCCTCATATGCACTGTTTTCAATACTTTTGCATCAATTTAAATTTGCTCTGCAATTCTACTTTCCATGACATTTTTAAAGTGTCCTCATGAGTTACTGGATGTTGCATAATTAGATATGCACACAATTTTTATATATGTACATATATAATGAAATAAAACGTCAACATGATCAAGAAATAAGAATAAATGTATATACACATATGTATGCTTATAACTACAGATACATTTAAACTTTTTTTCTCTCATTGATATTGATGTTTGATTTCATGATAACATCTAGCATCAGTATCTGAGTATAAAAGACCATTAGATGTTTTTCTTCCATAATAATTAAGTTTTCATTCCTTACCAAAAAACTCAATTTAAACTACAATATTAAAGTTATCATGGAAACATTGCAAACTATTTCCCTGAGGAACTATAATTTACAAATATAGTTATAAGAGATTGGTGTTGAGCAGTATGCTAAAATATGATTAGGTTTGTAGCATTTAAAATTTGTCCATTAAAATTTTTACCAGTTAAAACTACCTGCTCATCTGAAGCCATATTGAAAGTCAACTTTTAATCATTCTTAGGTGTACATCACTTAAAAACAAAACAGTCTGTAAACATTTGAGTCTGTAAGCTCAAGAGCAGGCAAGTGCCCACCAGCACGTGAGAACTGAGGGAGAGAAATCACAAGGAATTGGCCTCAGCCCTTCACTGGAAACAGTTGAAGAAAACTCTAAATCCTGGCAGCTTGTGCTGGTAGGACTACAGGAATGTTGCACCCACTGCTTTTACTTTAAATTATATGCAAATTCTAAACGTTTGTACAGATGTCATATAAAATCTACATGCATTAGTCTAAGGATTTATTATATCGAATTAAAGTGATTTATTCTATTGAAGCCATCTTTGCATACTGTCTGTTAACAACATACTTGAGCGCAATTCTGGCATCAATGAGGAAAGTCAACTCAAAGTTATTTGCGCTTGTTAACTGTAATCACTTGACATTTTAGGATTATGCATTTGGGGAGTGAAACCAGTTCCATTAGAAACGATGTGTCAGTCCCTGCTCGTGGGGCGCACGGGGAAGCATGGACGTAGCGTGCAGATGGCAATGGTATTGACTTGCTACATGGAAGCAGTTGTTAGTTAGGTAGATTGCATCTGCAGTGTCAGTACAGGGTTTTCCTTGGCACTGCTTCCTGGGAGTCACCCCAGTCTGAGCTATTGTAGTCACACTTCTTACACAGGGAGTGTTCAGTCTAGCTCATGTTACTTACTCCTCGGGCAGATTGTCATTTCCTGGGGAGACCAAGTGAGGATGTGCGGCAGGTAGGGCTACTGCTTTGTGAAAACCAAGTTAAGTAAGCCAGCTTTTTTTCTTTTGTCTGCTTTTTCCATTTAACACAAAATGCTATTTCCCTTAATCTGCAGAACAGGTGCTGGCCCACAGGAGAAAGTGGCCAAGGCTGCTTCCACTTCAAGATCCACTTGTCTCCTTTACATCTGATTCTGCAACCCTAGCTATCCAAAGTGCTTTTCTGTTATGCTGCCTTTTCTCACTGACCGGCGAGTTTTATTCAGGACCTTAAATATGTGCCATTTTTAAAATCTGAGTACTGCAAATAGCTTCTCTTTTTAGATTCCCATTTAGCTCCTTCTTTTTTTAGATTATTAATTTTTGTGCTCAGTTTAAGAACTGTTTTCACACAGTTATGAAGTTGCTTTCTGTTATGTTATCTTGTGGAAGCACTACTGTTTTATGTTTCATGTTTAGGTCTATAATTCACCTGCAGTTGATCCTTATTTATATTATGAGATAGGAATCAAGATTGACTCTTCCTATTTGGACATCCAATCAGCCTGGCACCATCTACTAAAAAGATGATCTTTCTCCTGTGTACTATTGGGACCCCAGTATAAATCGAACATCTATCTCTGTGCGGGTTTTTTTCTTTTCTCACATTCTATTCTTTCCCATTGATTGTGCATATAATTTCATGCAAATCAAATGCTCTTAATTACTGTGGCTTCGTAACATTATATAATATTAAGGGGCATGAAATCTCTAGTTTTGTTCTTCTTAAGATTATCTTGGATTTTCCTGGCTCACCCATAGTAAATCAGAAGCTAACTTCAGCACAGATCATTTTAAATCTTCTGGGATGATTTCAAGGTGTGGCCATGGAGAAGAGATACTCCATAAGAACTTGTGAGCAGTTCCAAAGTTTTTAACAGGACCTGTGCAAAGTCTGACTGCTGATCAAATGTGACTCATTCTGCAAAATTCACTCTGTTCATTGCCATCTAAATGTCACCCTAAATGGTATTCCTTGGAAAATTTTAGTATCTCATAATCTGGGTTGCCAAATTGGGTCTAGAATAGTAGGCACTTTCCAGCTGACATTTTTCTATTGAAATTATTTTCTGTCCTCCAATTTATAATCAAGTCTTCACTTTTTTTGATTTATATGAAGCAAGCATTGTAGATAAACTAGAAAAGCTATTTTCTGTAAAGACCTTTCAAAACCCCACAGCTTTAATATCTACTTGTTACAGTGTTATTGTTAGATTTAAATTTAGTGGAAAATGGGCTTCTTATTAGTTCTTTGGTTTTAAACTCGTAAATCCCTTTCATTAAATCTTTTTTATTAAGATTTAGCCAACTCCCACAAGCATTTGGTAATATTACTGTAAAAGATTTGAGCTCACTGAGACATACTATTCTGAATTTTTTTAAACCATAAAATATAGATGGAAATAATTTTCTGTTTGCAGTTCAACAATAAAAGCTGGGATAATACTTGAGTTCAAGCAGTTACACTCCATGCAGTAATCTGAGCATGCCCAGGTCCTGTCAACATTTTTTGTAATATTCTTAGTGTCAAAACATTGAAATGCATTTAAACTCATTGGTGGGGAATGGCCAGATTAAGGAAAAACAAAATGCGTTTCCAGAAACTGCTTAATCAATAGGTTCAGACAAATTAAAAGTTGGAACAGCTACAAGAGAGGAGTGATTGGCATGTGGCCAGCAGGGCAGCTGAAACATGGGACCTGTGTTGGTCATTTTCACAGCCCTGTCTCATGCTGTGTACTGGTCCACAGGCAGCCATGGTAAGCAGACTCTAAGCAGTAATGGAGAGAAAAGATGCAAGCATCCATGAGGATCAAATGAGCACGGCACTGGAGTTTAGTCCAGCTGAAGCAGTTGCATGGGCAAGGGAGGCAGACAAAACAGGGAGCAGACAATCACGGAGCCAAGGCCCGTGTGTAAGGTCCAGGGCAGCAGCGAGGAGCCACCGCCGAGACTGACAAGGGTGCGTCGGTTTGTCTAGATGTAGGAGTGGGACAAGTGGTCAGCAGCAGGCCTGTTCCTGAGATGCCCACGCCGGGTCCTTGCAGGAAGCCTGGGGCTGCAATTTCATCAAAGGAGCTTCTCTCCAAGTCTAGAGATTGCTAGAGCATCCTGATATTAGAATTGATGACATGAAATTTTAGGGAGTAGTGGCAGAATGGGCCCAGGTTTCCCTGGCACACGTCCTACACTCAGCTACCCATTGGGGCTGCATCGCTGTTCTGTTACCTGTGAATCTGAGACACTGAGTAGTCCTCATTGCACCTGTCTCAGGGAGCTTGGACCGAGGGGAGGGAACAAGGGAAGCATAGGATTCTGCAAACCTGCTGAGGGAAGCTCAAACATTCGTGCCTCTTTTTAATGCTGCACTTTCACTTGAATTGCTCCCATCATTTATTTATTTATTTCCTTTGTAATCAATGCACAATGATTGCACATGTAGTGCGATATTCCAACACATGCTACACGTATATATTATCTAATCAGTGTGATTAGCATATCCATCACCTCAACACCTGTCATTGCTTTGTGTTGGGAACATTCAAATTCCAATATTATAACTATTCTGAAATACACAATTTAATATTCTAAACTACAGAATACTAGAGTTATGTTTAAAAGCAACAAAGTTGACCTGCTAGAAGACAAGAGTGGAACTGTGGCTACCAGGGAACAAGGAGAGAGCTGGGAGGACAGGAACAGAGCCACAGCTCCCTTACTTCTGAGATGTGCTTTCCTGTCTCTTCCCTGCAGCCCAGTCTCACCAGCTAATAGCGACGTTGAGAGTGGGGAAGGCCTGTGTCAGTAGTTTTCTGGGCGATGCTTTTATTTGATCATCATAGAAAGCTGCTCATTTTATGCCTTTTGTTTCCAACCAGAGCAGCTCCCCGTGTTCAGTTTGATTGTTCTGCCTTGTAGGACTTTTGCCAGCCTAGATGCTAATCCATAGTTGGTGTATTGACCAACCTATTCCCATCACCGCATATGGCAGTCATTTGGCTATGTTGGTAGGTGTGTGTCTGAATGTATGCAGTTTTATAAGGTTTATTTTATCTGTAGCCTAACTGCCCACAAAAGGAACATAAGTAGAGTGTTTTTGGCAGGATCCTATGCAGATAGCACTGGATTTATTCTCCACATATAGAAGAGGTTATAATTGAAAAGGATAGACACAGACATTTCCCCTGGATTCTAATGAGTTGCCAAATGCTGTTGAGTGTTTTGATCCCTCCCTGTCCCCAGCTACCACTGCTGTTCTTGCCCTCTCTTTCAGCACTGTGGTACACTGATGCAATTTACCGTTTGTTGTGTGTGCATGAGATTCACACAAAGGAGTCATTGTAAAAACTGGCCCAAATGGTTGCACCTTGTGAACTAATATCAGCACACACTGAAGAGAAAAAAGTAATGTGCTATGCTTTTGTGTTTTCATTCCAGGTCAGAACTGTGGAGGCTTAGTCCAGGGTCCCAACGGCACCATCGAGAGCCCCGGGTTTCCTCACGGCTACCCCAACTATGCTAACTGCACCTGGATTATTATCACAGGGGAGCGCAACAGGATACAGCTGTCATTTCACACGTTTGCTCTTGAAGAGGATTTCGACATTTTATCGGTTTATGACGGGCAGCCTCAACAAGGAAATTTAAAAGTGAGGTAAAGTATCACCTCTTCTCTCAAAAAAAAAAAGTGTTGCCTCTCATAGTGTAGACTAGGGAGCACTGTTAGAATGCTGAGAATATTCATTTAGTTGGAATTAATATTTGAATGTCACTATCAGAGAAGAGAACTGGATTAATACAAAGTAAAAAAATGGAGCGTAGGTGTGTGTGAACTTGTGCATAATTTCCATACTTAAAATCTTAACTTCTTATTGGAAGCACTCATTGACTTATTTATAGATAGCAAATTGCTCAACATCTGTGAAACAGTGTTGTCAAGGTAATTGAAATAAAGTTATAATGCACTATTTTTTGCTAAGCTGCCATGGATTTGAGAGGAAAGTCTCAAAGGTAAACACATGAGTTTAGTAGAGACAACAGCAAAAGGAGCCTTTATGTTGTTGGCAGATACATGCAGTGAAAAGAGTATAGGAGGTGGGTGCAGTAGGAACACTCAGGAATGTTGCAACATTTGGTGAATTTCTTGTTTAGATAACGATAGAAGATGCTCTTCATCCTTTCTTTTCTCTTTTGATCTGTGACTTTTACCATGAAGGCAGAAAAATACTTGATGATTTTAAATTACATATTTTGTTTGCCAATATTCAAAAAATGTTATATGTTTGTGTGTGTATGTATATATAGTTAGCAAGGGACAAATTGATATACTTGCTAAGAAATTAGATTTTCTGACATAAACCGAGGGATATATTTAAATGACATTATTTAAATATAATAAATGAGTATATGGCAACTCAAACCTTTATCTTCTTGTTTAAAATTCTATATTAATTACAGAGTAAGTGTGTTCAATATATAGAGGCTTGTAAAAATAGACTGTAGGCAGAAGGAATTGTGCCATTTAGAAAACTAAAATATGGATGCTAATAGCAATAGATTTATACTCTTTTCATGATTTATAGACTGAAATATCTCTATAGTCTCATAATTGTATTTTCCTATCTAATTATATTAATGATCATATCATTGCAGGTTAACCACATAATGAATAATCGAATATACAACATATTAATACATTTTCAAATATATTTTATTGGTGTTTTCTGTTTGCATTTTCACATATTACATATCTTCAACTAATTTTGGGGTCATCTACAATCCATTGTCTGCTTTTAGAAAATTTTTTCCACCTCTGCATATATTGCACGATGTTTACCTCTTTTCTGAGTTGGGCAAATTTTGCTTCTCCTTTTGTAAACGAAGGAGCCCACATTTGAATGTACGGACAAGAGGATGTGCATATAAAGCCCTTGAAATTCCATGTAAACGTCCCAGTCCTCACTCACACTTTTCTAAATGTTAGTTACTTTCTTGTGTTCATTCACAAGAAATTTTTGTGCTTCTAGGATATATATAATGGTAAGTTGTTACTGAAAAAAAAGGAAGAAAAGTTGCAGAGTTATGGGAAAAAGAAGAATTAGGATATCCAGTTTACTCAAACACCAACACATGTGACTATGTTAAAAGTGACTTTCTCTTTCAGTTAAAAATGACTACTAAACATGTGGTCTTAAAAAATCTCTCTTTTCTATCAATATTGCCATTTTCCATAATTTTTTCACATAAAAGGAAACTGCTTTGATGTCAATTTGATTGATTTCCTGTCTTTCAACAAATTATTATCTTCTTATGTTCTTATGGTAATGTAAAGTACTTGGAAAGTAAAGTTCATGGAAATGGAATTAAAAGATAATTTTAATTCTATTGAGTGCAAAAGATTGTTATCCATGAATTTTTCTATAGTACACATATCCTAAGTACATTTTGAAGGCCCCTTAAATTATGGTCATTTTATGCTAATAAATGTAAGTTTAGAAGGCAGCGTTTCTACCATCGTCAGTACTGTAACAGAATCGGCAGCAGCAATGGTACAGCTAGAGAATGAGATTCACTGTGTTTTGTGCTGAGATTCTGGGAGCCTGTGTATCAGTCGATCCTGTACCCCAGCAGCTTTGCACACATTGCTGGTTGGAACCTGTGGGATATCAAGGCCTCTGACTGCTAGTATGTTCACAGCAGGCATGGGAGACTCATGGAAAGGGGACTACTTGTGTCCAGCTTCTTCCAGCTGTCACCTGACACAGAACAATATGCCAGACTTCTACCTGTTTCTCGTTCCTACACTCGGGCTGTGCCGTCATCTGGATGCTGGGTGGCATAGTTCTTCCTCCTCTCCCACTCCTAGAATGCCTATTGAGTAGTGATTCTGAGTCCACAGAAGCCATCCGGGGGAGCTGTTTCAGGTGTCACAGCACAGATAAAACCTAGCACACCCCAGAATGACAGCAATGACTGCTGAGAATGCCACGAGTCTCTGCTAGAGCAACACTCTGTAGAGCAAATGCTTTCTCTGGCAGTCGCCAGCATCTGTTGTTGGTGGGTACAGTCGTTATGATCCTTATGGACCCCCAAGGGAGGGGCAAGGGGTGCTCTATGCAATTATTCTCCATTCTCTCTTGCACCAGCTGTTTATTCTCAAACACAGTTAGCTGACAACGTGGAAAGCAGCTCCGGGGTTCAAATGAAGGATTCTTTCATGGGAGGCTTAAAGTGCCACCTGCTGATCTCTGAGTATTGATAGCTGAAATAAGGCTTCGCTGCAGACAAATTTCAGCTCACAATCAGACATAGAAATCAGAGTTTTGAGCGATCGAGAGCACCCTGTTGATTTTTAAGTGTAGTGAGACCACTGCTGTTTCTAAGACCTCCGGCCTGTTCTGACTTCGCACTTGATCTTGCCTCTCAAGTCTCCAGAGAAATCCAAATGTGTAGGCAGAAAATGTTCGCATTTTTACTTTGGAAACATCTCTCCATCAGCCACAACCTGTGTTCATACTCACAGGCAATGCTCCAGCCAGAGCTCCTGATCTCTCAGGGATTTGTCAGAGCCTTCTGATGACATTCCTGACCCAGGATGGCCTCAGTCTGACCCCAAATGTGGCTCCAGTCCTACCCAGGGTTCTGATAAACATGGCTCCTGGATTCAGGACATTCTACCACACGACTTCCAACTCCGTTCTGGTCTTCAGTCTCCCCCATTTGTCCCCTGTGGACATTTCTCTCTGAGGGCGATGGGCTCTGTGGGTTTCCCCTTGGTGTGACCTTGTGAGAGAACCTGCTTGTTCCTCACCTAGTGAAATGAGGTTCATCTCGTAAAACCTAGTTCACATTGTATTTATTGATTTCAGGAAATCTCTACTGGGTACTGAAGTTAAAAAAACAGAGCCACAACCCTAAAAGGTTCCTTTCCTCCAGACTCCTGCAGCACTGACCATTTGGGAGTGTGTGCTGCTCGAACGTGTCCCAGCCAGTCGCTGTGTGTCTGTCTGTCGGTCTGCTCTCCCATATCAGCTGGGGAGTACTCCCTTGTCCTCTGAGGCCATGGGACTTCCGTGTGTGTGAAAACATACATGCCGACTTTCAAACAATAAATAGTTGGGGGCAACTGTGACAATGTTCCTGACTCAAGGCCTCTCGTCATTCGTCTGTGCACATAAACAACACGACCCAACACAGCTCTCTCCTTGTTGAGCTTGAGCTAATTGCCTCACATAATGACTGATGCTGAACATTGTCAATCTCAGGTAGAGTTTTCTTGTCTCAACTCAGAAAATAAATGAAATTGACACATTTCCTACAATGATAACAATAAAATAGCCAATGCTGAAAACAAATCTCCTTAGAAACTCAGAAAGTCAGTGAAAGTGAATCTATGAAGCATGATTAAATTATCTAATCAATGTTGTAGCACAGAGGACCTAGGAAAATAGCTTGATCAGTTATTTTGACTTTCTTTTGCTCTCAAACTTCCACAAAAAACCTACACATATCAGCTATACATGGGGATGTTTAGAACTTACCAGTGTTTAAGAAAAGGGTTTTGGGTAGACCATGATCCAATTAGACTAAGATCTGTATTGCCTAATTCTGCCTACTCATGTTACTGGAGATCCTGAGGAAGCATTCACAGATCAATGTTCAGATAAAAATTCCAAGTATCATTTTATTTTTAGCATGGCTGGTGACAGGTTTCCCGAGCAAGTCTCAGGTGATGAGATGGTAAAGCATGTGTAAGAACTACAGGGTCTCTGCCCATTCTGAGTCCACACAGACATCTTGACATCTTACCCCACGTGGCCAGCCACATGGACATATGTGAAAATCATGACCAGAGGCATGCAGTTGGTCCAGTGGGTAAGAGAAAGCACAGGGTGCCTGCATTCCAAACTGGAGGGCCTGGTTCCAGTTTGGGCTCTACTTGCAATTCCAGCTTCCTTTGAATGCACAACCTGGAATGTGGAAGATGATAGCTCTAGGGCTTTGGATTCCACAACCTATGTGGGAGATCTGGGTTGAGTTCTGATCTTTTGGCTTCAGTCTGGCCAATCCTGGCTATTATGGGCATTTGAGGACTGAACCAATGGATAAAAGATATCCTTCTCTCATTTTCTCCCTGTCTTTCTCACTATCTTCCCCCTTTTGAGAAATAATGAAAATGAATTTTTAAAAATGAAGAGAATAACCAGTAACCTCTGGGGTAGGGAGGTTTCTTCGGTAGTCTGAGTAGAAGCCATGAAGAGACCACTGAACAGATGTGGTATCTAGGACATAGGCTCTCAGCCCCGCCCATCAGGTGGCCCAATCAGTGCTTAGGAACCTGATGAAACAGGTTATTGTACTCAGTGAGACACCAAGGGGATGGGTGGCCTTTTTATGTTAAACCATCTGATATTTCAGATTCATATGATTTCATCACTATTCTATATGCAGATTTTAGGATGGCGAAATAAAATATTACTTTCTGCAATGGATATTCATGATTTTTTTCAATGTGTGCTTTTTCCTGGCAACTCATAAGCACTAATTATTCTGTAACGTTGAGTTATTTATTAATTCTTTTTTTTTTAAACTTTTATTTAATGCATATAAATTTCCAAAGTACGACTTATGGATTACAATGGCTTTCCCCCCATA